TACAAATTGGAGACTGCTACATCTGCTGAAATGCTTTTTTAATAAATAGTTTACATTTATAAATGCATGCGCAGTTTTTTTTTTTAATTTTTTCGTTTTTTTTCATCCAGAGGTACTATCATAATGACATGTGACATCTTTAGATTGAATTTACTTCAAATCTATATATATATTTCTCTTACACGGCGATAAAAAAAAGCTTCATTACAACTCCCCGAATGGCAACGCTGGAAAATCGACCAATGATTGCAGTTAAAAATGTCTCATGCCAAATCTAGCTCAGGTGGCTCAACATATAGCGCTTTTAAAAACGGAAACTGAAAAAACAATTCTGCTGCCGCAATCTCATACTATTACGCTAGGCAGAAGTGAGTAGTCTTTGCCGATAGATCTCTATTTTAGTATTTTGTCGAAAGCGCTTTTTTTCACGAATTTATATACATTACGAATTTATTTGACGATTTTTGATTTATATCACGAATTTATTTGTTTTATTATTGTTATTAGTTATTCATTGAAAACTGAGTCTCAGTCAATGAGTCTTTATTTGAATTCAAATTTATTTTAATGACTTAGTATTTACTAAAAAGATGTAATTTAAAAAAAAAAAAAGTTGTTATATGGATTTGAATGCTTGTTTTGAATTCTTAGAATTTTGTGCATTTGCAATGTATCTAAGTTAGCAGCGAGTGAAGCGAGCTTGGATTGCAAAGCAAACCATATAAGATTGCGTAGCAATTTTCGGGGGTTGGCGAGCGTTAGTGAGCAGGGGGAGCAGCCCACTAGTACTATAAAAAAATTCAAATTTCAAATGTCATCTTACAACGTAATAGTTTAAAATTAAAAAAAGTAACATGACAATTAATTATAAAATATTTTTATAATAGGGATTAATAAAGAACGATGAGTTGCTAATCGATTTGGATTATCTCATATATTTTTAATTCACTTAACTGGATGCTCATAATGCGTTGCGTGTTTAATAGCGATGTAAATTTTATATTTATTATTCTTAATCTCTTCTAATATTGTGATTTACACTACATTGTTTCCACCTTAAAAACGATTCTAAAATTTTGTCAGTATTCTGGATTTCTATCTTATGCAACTAAAGTCTTATATGTAGAATAAAATATGACTGTTACCGAGAACTTAAATAAAAGACACTATAATGTTATAACAGATAGTGGATATTATTGAAAATGATCTTTACCGAGGTGACAATATATTAAAAGAATTCAAAGTGGTTTCTGTGATTTTTCTTTCCGGGCACATTAACTTTGAAAAAAAAATTAAAAAAAAAAATTCTTTGACTTTGATATAAAAATATTTTGTCATGTTTTTAGTCATCTCATTTTTTGCTTTTTTTTCCATTTTCAACTGTTTTTTAGACTACTAACTCATATTTCTTTAAAGAATAAAAGGAGGTTACAAAAGTGCACATGAAAGGATTGCTCAAACTTACGTTGAAGAGAAAATAAAAGAAAAAATATTTTTATTGGAACTTTACTTTTTATTGAATTTAGAGTTATAATAAGAAACCATTATGCTTAATTGAATATAATATAAGAGCTGAGGTATTTTTACATAAATAAAGAAGTAAACAACTCATCAAAATGGAGTATTTTAATAGAAGCACTAGAATTTTCCTCGTTATAATGTGAGTAAAGTGAAGTACTTTACGCTACAATGATATACCAGAATCTTAAGTGTCATTAAAATAAATCTAAGAAATTGGTTTACAGTATTGAGATCTAAGGAAAAAATAATTTATCTTAATTATAAGTAAAATATACCTATAAGTTACTTAGAATCATTTCACTTTTATTATGTAAAAGTTAAACTTGATCTCTCAATTAAAATTAAAATTCCAACTTTTTTTAGAATATATAATAAATTAAATGATTAACGTTGAACCACGTCATCTAAGAGACACGTCATCAAATTCGACTTTCTAAAGGTATCTGAAAATATATCCTTATTTTATTTATAGTTACGCTTTTAAGACGTGTTTCCTTAAAACTAAACTGCTGTTTGTAGAAAATGCAACACCATGAAGGAATCATCAGAATCAAATGAAATATTATTTTAATAATGGATATAGGATATTATGCAAATTAATAAAGTTTCAGAGCCATCGCGCGTGCGTGGCGCGCGCAGCGCCCTCTGAATTGATGCTGAAAGCGTATAAATAAAGTGCTGTAGCGGGACGTTGAAAATAGTCTATGATTATTTGTTAGTGGCAAACGTTTAGTGAGACCTGAGTATGCCTCCACGACGGAAGAATAAGAAATTCAAGCAACTTACGGAGTTTGAACGAGGGAGGATAATCGGCCTTCGAGAAGGAGGATTTTCCTATCGCGCAATAGCAGCTCGTATGCAGCGGAACAGTTCCACAGTGATGCGAGTTTGGAAGCAGTGGACCGACGAGCACCGAACAACTCGAAAAACAGGCACTGGACGACAGAAGGTGACGTCAGAGCGCGATGATCGACACCTGCTCCGCATGGCGGTGAATGATCGCACAGCTTCCTCCAGGCAGCTGGCAGCACATTGGTCTACTGCTACAGGTGTACAATTGTCGGCTTCGTCAATTCGTCGTCGTCTGCTGCGCCGTGGATTGCGTGCAAGGGTGCCATTATACAGGATTCCCCTCACGGCGGATCATCGACGGCTGCGTCGGCAGTGGGCTCTTGAGCACAGAGACTGGCGAGCTGATTGGCACCAAGTTGTCTTTTCAGATGAATCACGCTTCAATTTGTGGACCCATGATGGCCGTGTTCGTGTTAGACGTTATGCCGGTCAACGCTGCCTTCCTGAGTGTATTATTGAACGACATAGTGGTCGAACACCCGGAGTTATGGTCTGGGGTGCGATTTCGTATCATGGACGATCCAATTTGATACGAATTGAGGGTAATCTCAATAGCAACAGATACGTCCGTGAAGTGCTACAGCCCGAAGTCGTTCCTTTCCTTCAAGGCATCCCTGGAGCTATCTTTCAGCAGGATAATGCACGCCCACATGTTGCGCGGACTGTTAGAGACTTCTGTTCAGCACAACGCATGCAACTTCTTCCTTGGCCTGCTTATTCGCCGGATATGTCGCCTATTGAGCACGTGTGGGATATGGTTGGTCGGCGTCTCACTCGTGATCCGCGTCCTGCAGTTTCCAAAGACGAACTTTGGTTGCGCATACAAGCGATATGGAATTCTCTTCCTCAAGCAGATATTCAACATCTGTTTGACTCCATGCCACGTCGTATAGCAGCACTTATTGCAGCGCGTGGTGGCTGCACCAAATACTGATTTCGGACGCTTAATTTGTTTCTTTTGTTTTGAAAATTTCATCATTTATTTGTATCAGTACAAGTCGTTTCTGCATTAAATTTCATTTGATTCTGATGATTCTTTCATGGTGTTGCATTTTCTACAAACAGCAGTTTAGTTTAAAATCATATGTTATTAAAAAAATTACGTCTTGTGCTAACTAGCACAATTAATGAAGAAAATACTAATTTGTTAAGGTGAACGGCAAGAATTTGCTTTATTATTATTGTCACCAATGATGCTTGATTAGTCTTGGTAATAGGGGCGATCTACTGGTGATATTGCGGTAATTGGTATTTTTTCAAGAGGTTTCAAGGTACCTTATGTGGGTACAGAGAAAATAAATTTCTTACTGCCCACGGAAAGGTGATAATTATCGAAGATAATTGCGTAATTGTGATAAATTTACTTTCACGAGTTTGCCTCGAGCAATTGCATTATGACAAATGATACTCAATACAGTTAATATATTTTTTCACTCTTTGATGAACTTTTAAAAACTTGTTTTGCTTAATCTAATAACGCAAAGGAAAGAGCAATAAGTAAAAATAAATAAATAAGTTGGAAATATTTTAGTTTGAATAAGTGTGCCGGTATGTGAGGAGTTTTTAGCTTAGTGCAAAGATGTGATAATACAAAATATTTTTACACATAATTATCAGTTGATAATAACTAATAAATAAATACAAATTAATGTGATTGTGTGGAATTATTTTTAAGATTCGAATTCAACTATAGATTTATTTCTGCTAATAGCAAGTACAATTTGAGGTATATTTTTAAATATGAACGTACATTATATTGTATTCACATTCATAAATTCTGTTCAGCAGTGGAAAAGAAAAGTAAGGTGACATGTATTAAAAATCAACTTTTAAGATTCCCTAAATTTTGGGGGAAACTGAGGATTGTGTTTATGCATATTTACATTTTCATTACTTTATTTGAAGTTTCATTAAATCAATAGAATCTAAACTTATTTTTGATTCTTTTTAATATTAAATTTAAAAAAAAAACATTATAAAAGTAATTTTTTAGTAAACAGAACTATTTTCTAGGTTTGAAAATTCATTTTATTGCATAACATTTTTAAGATAAAAACCTAATTACTAAGTACAATGTTTTATTAAGAAGCAAATAACTTAGCATTGTTGATTTAATTATTATTATTTTGATATAAAGCATAGAAATATAAATTAATATTGTTAGACTGTCTTCACTTTTGTTGAATTAATTTTTCTCTGTCATTTTAACTTTTAAAAATAAATACGGTATTTTTATGCCTATTTCATTTTTCTGTATTTTGTTTTAGCGCTTTTATTATGAGAACCACAAAAAGTAATTAAGATATTTTTGCGTTATTTTTTATCAACTATTATAATACTTCCAAACTTTTAAAAAACGGTGTTCTCTAAAGTTCATCTACAAAATTTATTAAAAGTTAATTGAAACAATAAATAAACAAATAATAAAAAAAATTCAAAATGATGACAAAACTTTAAACCACGTCTAAACTGCATTGAATATACATACGATGCAATAAAGATATTTTTATCTTCTTCATTATTGAAATAAGAAATTTTCCCCATCCTTAAGAATTGTTTTAATTTCTCACAGGCAACGTTGGCGAAATCCCTCTTCCATTTTGGCGCCATGCATTCTCGCAGAACTTGTGCGAAGCAACCATGTGAATAGAACTGACATTCGGCAGAAGAGCGAACACCGAAAGGTTTCTGCCGTTGTTCCGCCGTTAAATACCTTTCTCGGCATCGACCATGTGTTTTGAATTCTCAAACTTCTGTTTGATTCTAGGCAGCTCCACGTTTTAAAGAGAGAATCGATTCATTTTCAGAGATCTTCATGTTCATAGCTAGGGCTCGAAAGTTGTAATTTCAGGAGTATGCTAAGTAGATGTGTTCTTAGTAATCAAAAGTAGTAATCAAAGTAATCAAATGTGTTCTTAGTAAACAAAAAGCATATGTTTGATTGAAAAATATGCTTTCAAAGTGAAATTTTAACGCTGGATGGAATTTCAAGAAAAGAATTTCCGAATATTTCTAGAAGAAATGTTTCGGCTTCCCAAATATATAGCGATTTGCTTAAAGTTGTCTAACAACCAACCCTATATATTACTTATGGTGAAACTACTTCCAATTCTATAGCGCTGTGTGGTATTTCATTAGCATGTTACAGTGTTTCAATCCTGGAAACATTTCGTCAACAGTAAATTATTGACTCGAAGTTTTTGCACAATATAGTGTTTTAAAACTTGCCAAAACTTGGAGTGGTTTTCAAAAACCAGAAAAATAATTGAATAGTTAAAGCTCAATATTTTAAGTATTTTAGTACTCCATTTAGTTATCTCTAGTCAGCTAGCTATTTTAGTTAATCCTGAGACATATTTATTGTTGTTAGGTGCGTTTTCTGTTAAAGAGGCATTTCTAGTCAATTGTACTTAAAATGATTTATTCTTTTTACATATTTGTTCCTATGGGATTTTCATAAACGCCTAGTCTCCAAATCAATCTTATTATTCATCTCAATTAAAATTACTGTATAGTAATAATATACCTGTGCCATACTAGCATTTATTGTGAATGAACACAAAATAGAACCATGCTTTACCTGTTTTTACCGTTTTTGCTGCTTCCAGTGGTTTGCAAAGCTTGCGCGCTTCTGCCAGACGACGCCAAACCAAAAGGTCTTGAAGAACGATCTTTGGATTCAGAAATCGTTATTGCAGCTTATACAAGAGCTGTGTACAGAACTAGAAACAATACTACTAGTTACAGTGCAGAGTTTTTGGTGTTCAACATCATTAAAGGAGAAGAGCATGTTGTGGAATTGTACCAGAAGCGAAAACCATCTGAATTGGAGACTGTGCTTAACAGAAGATTAGTGAATGTGTCCAATTTCGGAGATCCCGGTAAATGTGACTCCGATGTCAATCCCAATGAAACTTACATTCTGTTTCTGGATGTACTTGTAAATGGTGAACTCACAGCCAGATATGACGGGGCTTACGGTCCAGCTGTTCTGTACAGCAGAGATAAGGAGATGGCTTTAGAAGCAATCGGTAAGTATTTCGTATTTTTGACTAAATCTGCAGATTTATTATTTTTAATGTAACTAAGTTCGCAAAATTATGTAACTCTTACCGTGTGTGAGATTTATTTTTGATTTTACATTACTAAGATGCATTTATTAAATGGATTAGATTTGGTGAAATTAAGAAACAAGTTTTTAACAAAATACTAATCGCTCAATTAATTATTGCCCACACATCAATAATATGGATTTTAATAAATTTATGAAAAAATTCTTTTACAAAATAATGATAAAAGTCAAATGTTTTTTTTTATAAATTATTTAAAAAAAATATTTCTTCGAAACACTTAAAGGTGGGTTCAAAATCATCATTAAAATAACAACCGAATTTAATATTGGTCATATAGCATATTTTAATAGCTTATCCTTTATATAAAAATATTAAAACAAGTCTTTTAATAAATTTTAAATTGGTATTTCTCAAAGAATCATTACAGAAATATTTTTTTAAGAATATTCTTTTTCAAGAAAAGGACAATCTCTAAAATACGAATTTTCTTTAAGAAAAATTTTAAATTATGATATTTTTTTGTAAATAGCATGTTTTATATGTAGCTATTTTATAAATTTGACATTGGTGGCCATGAATTACATTAAAAATTATTTTGTATGTAAATACATTTTTTTTATTTATCTTTAAGTCCTCGATAAATAGTATTTTCTGCAAGGTTGAACTCTAGCTAAAGTATTTCTTATGTATTATGTTTATCCTGAAACTTATTATGTAATATTTTATTATCTTAACGAGTTTTTTTTTATTTTTAAAATAAGCACAAATATGTGATTAAAGATAAATGATTTATTGCATTGCATTTACACTTTAAAAAAATATTTACCTATAATTTGTGCCCCATTTTTGATGCTTCTAAATAGATTTTTCAGTAGAGAACTGCAGTTGTCGTGCAAAATGTTTGCATGAAATTAACAAAATAACAATCAGTGTGAGGAGTTTGTGCGAATATATTACTAAACATTTGCTTATTTTTTATGTGAAATGTAAAGCCATTAAATTTAATCTGATGCGGAGGAAAATATGTGTTGTCAGTAAACAAGCATAAAATAAATAAATAAACAAAGCAGTAAAAAATGTGACTGCATGCACTGTGAAAATTTTTAGTTTACCTCATCTTTAAAAATGGTGGCAACTATGCACCAAATTATTTTACAGTGTATTTAAAATTATGCAAATGATAACAGTCTGGTAGTTTTTCTAAAATAACAATAAAAAATCACATAGTTTTTCTCACATGAACTAGATTTTTACACTAAAAATTTTTCACAGCTGAAATCTATATTCTCAGTTAAAATTGATTGGTTTGAAAGTATGGCCTATTCCCAAAATACGTTATGACATAAGGATAAAATTAGGAAAGGCCAGTTTTTAAAAAAAATGAAAATTAAATTAAGCGATTAAAATGATTGTTAATTTTCTTTTGAAGGATTTTCATAAAGTGGTAAACTCTACAAGGTTTATTTCTAAAACAAAACAAAAAAACGTTTTAAGATACCAGGGTAAAATTCACAAGAATTCCATTCGTATTAAAAAATATTAATATAATGCAAATGGGAAGATGATAATTGAAATAGCAATTGGGTCGCAGAAAATTGATGAATCATCAGCTATTATACTTAGTTGTTTTGTGGTCATTGGCAATTGTTATTTTTGCCCTATATAACATATGTAATTAATGTAAAATAAAAATACAAATTTTAAACTATGTCCAACTATAAAAAACCTGAATCATTCTTTTTAGTTAATTATAGTTAGGTTTCAAAATTTAAGGACTTACGATAGTGTATAAATCCAACTTCAGCAATTCTAAAAAGTAATTTTGTGTCCCTTATTTTATTGTAAAACTAAAAAATGCTAAATATTAAATCTCATGGTAAAGAAACATTTTTTACAAGGAAACATTGTTCTTTTTGTCCCTTAATATTTTATACATAGCATAAGACATAAAAATATTTTTTGTTACATATTGTATTACGGTTTGTGAATTTTGCTTGATTTAAAACTTATTTGATCGTAATTCTAATATAACCTTTGAATACAGTAGTTTTAGTATTTTCTATTTATATGTGATAACAATTTTTTAGGACACAGAAAGAATTTCTGGAAAGCTCATGAGGATTTTTCATTTTTCTTTTTTCTGTAAAATGAGATATAATTCTCTTTTTTTTGTAAGAAAATTTCGTTATTTTGTTATCTAGAATAGAGAATATTTCTGAAAATACATATATTTTGTACGTGGTGCACAACAAAAAGTACTTTAAAGCGAATATAATTTTTTGCTTTCTTTATATTAAAAAAATTGTTTTAGTGCTTTTTAACCGGAATAATTTTACTCAATTCGTTTTTCGCTTGTAAAGCGTAAAATTGTTGGAGATCAATTATAATTTTTTTTTGGAAAAATTTTAACGCGTAACCAGAGTAAAAAAATTTTTTTATATGGTTTTTAATCCCTCAAAAAGTTATTTTAAGTAACTTATTTCCTTTTCAATGGATGAAAACGTTTCTTTTCTGAATGTTTGTTTTTTAATAACAGAAGCTTGATTTTTGATTCTATGAATGTCTTCATTGAATTATTATTTTGCTAAGATTAGTTAATTCTTTTACGCACAATTTACAAATATTAGTTATTTTGCCTTTTTTACGTACAATTTTAATATTAGTCAAAAAGATAATTTTTTGGCGAATTTTTTAGATATGATTAATTACTGCAGGAAGGTACCTTCGCTAAAAAACTACAGATGTACATGAAATGTGTTCCATACCAAATTTAAATTATTTAACAAACGAAGTTAGCAAAGTTAAGAAATATTCAATAAACAATTCACCAACCATTACAATCATAATTAACAACAAGTTAACAATTATTTAACAAACAAAGCTATTCAACAAGCAACATTTAAATTATTAAACAAAGAAACAATAATTGTGCTATGAAAATGAATTAAAATGGTTTCATACCAAGAGCGAAAATCATTCGCGTTTTTTATGGTTGCTGAAAATAATTAATGAAATGGTAAGAAATATTATTTGACTTTTTTAGATTTAGAGATCGTTGTTTTCCCTCATGATGTTGAAACTTTTTTCATATTTTTTGCTCCTCTTTTAATAATCATGTTTATTTCAAATATATCATTTCAAAAATTGATATAAATTAGTAATTTTATTTCATTTCTTATTAAAAATTTTGTGAAGCTTTTATTATTGTTCTTCCTATATTTTTTTAATTAATAAAAAGTAAAAAAAAATGTTTTAGGCAAGAAATTTTTAAAATTTATTTTGAACATCACAATAGCAAACATTTCTGATTTCGTAATAAAGAATGGACAATAAAAATTCATAAATAAAATAATGCTGATCGCATAATATTTTATATATATATATATATATATATATATATATATATATAT